CCTACCCATGATTTAGAGTTAGCGGTGGTGATCTTTACCTTGAAAATTTGGAGGCACTATCTGTATGGTGAGAGATTCGAGGTGTTTTCTGATCACAAGAGTCTGAAGTATCTGTTTACACAGAAAGACTTGAATTTGAGGTAGAGAATGTGGATGGAGTTCATAGAAGAATATGATTTTGAGTTGCATTATCATCCGAGGAAGGCCAACGTTGTAGCCGATGCCTTAAGTAGGAAGTCAATTAGCAGCGTAGCTTGTATCGCCATCTGGGAATACGAAATGTTGGGTACTCTTGGGGAGTTTGACTTGTACCTTGGCGAGTCTGTTGAATCTACGGCTTTGTTTTCAGTAATTGCACAACCTACACTTGTGAACTGAGTGTTAGAAGCACAAAAGAGTGATCTTGAGGTGGAAACCCTCAGGGAGAAGATCTCCAGTGGAAAGTTGTAGAGGGGCTTAAGTGTATATCCCGACCAGAGTGTGAGATACTGTGATTGTTTATTCGTACCAAAGTCTTGCCGAGAGGAGGTACTCTAAGAGTTTCACCATTTGCGCCTTGCGGTGCATCCAGAGGCACAAAGATGTATCGCAACCTTAGTCACCAGTTTGAGTGGAGAATTATGAAAAAGGATGTAGCTGTGTTTGTATCGAAATGCCTTACTTGTCAGTAGGTGAAGACTGAGCATCAGAGGCCAGCGGGTTTTTTGCAACCCTTGCCTATAGCCGAGTGGAAGTAGGAACATGTCACAATGGATTTTGTTATGGGCCTTCCAAGGACTCAATGGGGTAGTGATGCCATTTGGGTAGTAGTTAACCTGTTAACCAAGTCAGCGCACTTTATACATATGCGTGTGAGTGATTCAGTAAATCATCTTGCCGACTCGTATATTAGGGACATAGTGAGGTTGCACGGGGTCCCTGTGATGATTGTTTCGGATAGAGATCCGCGTTTCACAGCTCGGTTGTGGCAGAGTTTGCAAAGTGTTTTGGACATTAGATTGACTTTTAGCACTACATACCATCATCAGACTAACGAGCAGTTCGAGCATACTATTTAGATTCTTGAGGATATACTTCAAGGCTGTGTCCTTGATTTTAAGGGGTCGTGGGAGAGACACTTACCCTTAGTGGAGTTTGCATACAATAACAGCTTCCAATCGAGTATTGGCATAGCACCGTTTGAGGCCTTGTATGGCCGATCGTGTAGATCTACAGTGTGTTGGGCCGAGGTGGGTGATGCACCTTTGTTGAGTCTAGAGTTGGTTCGGAAAACGAAGAAAAAAGTTACACTTATCCGTAAGAGATTAGTTATGGCCCAGAGCCGCCAAAAGAGTTATGCCGACCGTAGGAGGAGACCTTTGTCCTTTAAAGTGGGTGATCACGTATTCTTGAAAATATCACCTAGACAGGGTTTGATGAGATTTGGGAAGAGTGGGAAGTTATCCCCTCAGTTTATAGGCCCTTTTGAGATCCTTGAACGAATTGGGTAGGTTGCCTACCATTTGGCATTGCCGTCACAACTTTTCGGAGTGCATGATGTGTTTCATATTAGTATGCTTCGAAAGTATGAGCTGGATCCATCGCATGTGTTGGATTGGACCGACTTAGAGGTAGATAAGGATGCCTCATATAAGGAGAGACCAGTGAGAGTCTTGGATAGACGGGACCAAGTCTTGCGAGGCAAGACAATTCCCTTGGTCAAAGAATTGTGGAAACATCACGGGGTTGAGGATGCAACTTGGGAGCGTGAATTGGAAGTCTAAGAGAAATATCCGGACTTATTTGTTGATGTTTGAGCATATGTTGAGATTTTAATCTTGTTCATAAACTGTAAAGACATTGCATATGTTTTGAATTATGAGAACATTGTATATGTTAACTACATTTCGGAAATGCAAGCTTAATATGAACATTGTATATGTTGTTTAAGTTTTGGGAAATGCAAATTTATCATAAACATTGAATATGTTTTGGAAATATGAGATGTACGTATTGAAGTTGATTGAAACTATGAGAGATACATATTGGTAATGTATGTTGAAAGGTATACTGTGAATTTGTTCATCATGTGATGGGATTGAATGACCGGTAGGTGGATCATGGTGTTGAGAATTGGTTTGTAATCTTTTTGAAAATTGGCTAAAACTTTATTTTGAAACATGATTTATAATTTCAGGGACGAAATTCCTTAAGGGGGGAGATTATAGTGATTCTGGATTTTGACCCGACCTTTGTTGTATTCCAGACTCGAGTCTCGTGGTTTAATATTGTTATTTATGTCTTTCTCTTCCTTCCACTCTTTGAGTTTGATTTTTGGAATGTGTGGGACATGTTTAGAACAGATGGGTTGATAGTTGGTCTAGAATGAAGTTGCCCAGATTTTGGCTTCTTCGCTCGAGCGAAGCTTTCCTCGCTCGAGTGAGCTTGGTGATCTTCCAGTATTTCTTTCAGTCCTGCAGAGTTTTTGGGAAGGTGTTGTTGTTTGCTCGAGCGAGAACTCTTGCGCTCTAGCGACGGTCTTCTGTGTTATGGTTCGCTCGAGCGAGAACTCTTGCGCTCGAGCAATGATCTTCTATCTGCAAAACTTCTGGGGATTCGTATTCTATGCTCGAGCGACGCTTCTTGCACTCAAGCGAGGTCACTTATTGTGTCTGGTCGCTCGAGCGACAACTTCTTCACTCGTGCAAGTCTCGCGTATATCAGTTCACAACAGCTTATTTTTATATCACTTTTTATGATCTTTTCACTCAAAAACCCTAATCTGACTCCCTCTCTCTCTACATTTTGACCAAGATTCTTTGATCTCTTCACCTTAGTGCTTTTGGATAAAGGGTAGAGCGTCTTGAAAGCTCCATTTTCATCTGGTTGGAAGTTGATTTCATCATTTTCAAAGTTCCTCCATTTTTCCTTTGGGCTTCTACACTTAAGGTAGGGATATTCTACACTTTAATATGGTTTTTAACTTAGTTATTTGTTGTTATGAATGAATGGTGAGATTTGGAGGTATTTTGAGAAAACCTAGGGTTTGGGTTCAAATTAGAAAAGGGGTTTTATGTTGTGTTGCATAAATGTCTATGGGGTCTTGGATAGGAGATTGTCTTGTGCTTAAATTGTTGGTTTTGGCCTTTGGGCAACATTTGGGAAAATAGGGAGTTTGGCCCTAAATGTTTGGAATAATTATTTTGTATTAATAATGGAATTGATATGAGAAATGTGAAATTGAGAGGATATATGAATGAATGGTGTAGTTGGATTTGATTAATCACTCACCTATGAGAATTTGATGAAATATCTTTTATAAAGATTGTATATCGGTTTAGAAATATCTGTATTAGGCTATCGGTGGAGGATAGCTATGATTGTTGTAGAAATTGCATGAGGATTAGGTAAATTGAAACTAATCATTAAACTATGTCATTGAATATGACGGTATGTTGAGACATTGAATATGTGTGATTTGAATATCATTGAATATGACGGTGTCTTTAAATACATTGTATATGTATAATGCTTTGAGAGGAGAAAGGGGATGTGCTCCATGTTTTGGGAGAAGATAGGGGATGGAGTCCATTGAAATTAAGTTGGCTGGAGTATCCAGGGTGAAAGTCCTGAAATCATATGTATACATGGGTGCCGATCCTGCGGACGAAATTTTCGTAAAATAGTAAGATTGAAGTGTTTTGAAAACCATTAAGTTGTAGTCTCAGTTGGATTATTCGGAGAATTATAGACTTGGCCTGTGAGTTGAAATTAAATGAACTAATTTGAAATGAATAAATGGGAATAGATCTAGATGTGAATGTTGGTATTGTATGGTCATGTGAAGAAGATGTGTTTTGGTTACAAGTATTGAATATATATACTTGACACTTATACCTTAGTTAAATCTCATATATTGTGATAGAATGTTTCTACTGGGCTTTGGCTCACCCTACTTGGGAAACCATTTTCAGGAATCGGAGACATATCTCCTCCAAGGACGTAACTTAGGAGGACCTAGGAGCTGAAGGCTCTATTTTTGTGTTTGTGTTTAAATGATTATTCAAGCCAAGGGCAAGGGCTTATTATTTATACAGAACTTATGACTATTTTTCGATGTAACCAAACCATGTCTTGGAAAGATGTAAGCCCGTAGGGAATTTATTTTGTTGTTATTAACTAATGTTATATGCTATAGATTCAAGATGAACATTTATGAATGTATATCGCATGTATCATCTTTTGTAATGCGAACTCTGATGATGGAAATACACAAATTCTATTATGCTTAATTCTCTTATGAGTTGGGTCATTTGTATTATTTTGGGGACGTTACATAGTAAAGTTAAGTTACAACTTAAAAGGGCAGCCACTGATCCATCAGCTTGGACCCAGACCTTCCACTCACCACACCCTAAGGTACGGCTACATGCCACTCGGCCACAAGAGTCTCGGCTAATGGGGAAATTTATAGGGTGTATGCCATATACACCTTTAGATACGATTTTTGTGTTTTGTGATAACCTAATATGTTATTAGTTATGACACATTATGATGTTAGTTATGACATTATTTTAATTATGATTCAAAAGGTGTTTGAATATATCTTATGTGTTGTTCAATTATTATTATTATTTTTTTAATTATAACTCTCATAGTATTGAGTTATACAATTTATGATGATTAAACTAACAAATAGCATAATTTACCATAGTATTTCCCTTTATTTATTGCATAAATACACAAGAAGTAAAAAAGTGAAGTTAATGTAGTGATTAAGAACATTTCTACAAAAAACAATATATAGAAAGCTAATTTTGTCATTTACAACAAATGTTTTCTATCACTTCTGGTATAAAAATAATTTTTGTGATTTGAGAATGGTGGGTGATATTTTTTTGCTAATTCATTTTTTACTATTTTCTACAATTTTAATTGGCTTTAGATTAATTTTATAGCTTGTAGTCGTAAGATCTAAAAAGCAAACAAATAATTGGAGAGAATGTGATAATGTATTTAACCTGTAGCCTACAGGTGATCTTTTGCAGAGAAGACAATGAAAGGAGTAGAAGATCCTCAGCTCTGTTGTAGTAAATTGTTACAACTACATAAGATAAGTTCTGATGCTCATTTGGGGGGGGGGGGAACTTAACCACCAATGCAACTTTAATTAGTGAAGTTTTTGAACATAAAAACTTACCCGGAATTGTCGGAGTAGTAAAAAACTTGCACCTCTATCTACTATCTCTTATCTGGAACTCTGCTATAAGAGTTCAACAAAATAAACAAATAAATAATCAAGAACGAAAAAAAAATAAACATATGAAGAAGTTCATCATTGAAAAGCATAATTTGTGATCAAAATATGGTACACTAGTTTATTCCCAACCTATCAACCATTTGACCCTTTTATTTAGGCATTTATTTTAAATTGGTAAATGTTAGAAATGGTTGGGAAAATTCTGGGTAAAATCAGAATTTTTTTCTAAGTTTGGTCTATTTTTTAGATGGGCTTCGTGCGTCGATTTTTGCGGGTCAAAGTGGTAACGCGTTCTATGCCGCGTTGAGATTCACGTGGTCTATTTGGTTGCTTAAAACCATTACCGAGTGAATGGAAAATTGAAGCCAAAGTATGCTCCGTGGAAATGGAGTTTAAGTAGAAAATCCTTAAAGGTTTGAATAAGGCTTGTCCCACATTGATTTGGTGGGAAATTTTGAATGGGTTTATAAGGCTAAAAATTGGAACTTGGGGTGTGCCCCAAAAGGTACCCAAGTTTATAGAAGAGAGAGGTTATGGACAAAATGGACTAGACCTATTGGACCCAAGACACACGCGCGTGCATCGCTACAGCCGTCTGTCTGGGTGGGCTTGGGTGCATGGTGTGAGGTTGGGTTGGGCTTGTCCTGCCCAGTACTTATCTTTTTTAGCAAAAAACATTTGAATTTAATTTTATTTTTGAAAAAATAAAATCCAGAATTCAAATTAATTCCGGAAATAAATTGTTCCGATTTTTCTGTACACCCAAACAGGTCCCTTCCATTTTTATCTGTTTGAATTTTGAACCCAACAGATTTAAATCTGTTTTATTAAAAACCAAACAGGTTTCATACCTGTTCAAAACAGGTTAGCACCTGTTTAATTCAAAATCAATAGCCACCACTATATCTATAAATAGGCAGCCCTCATTTGATGTTGCATATTCAGAAATTTTGTACTTCACCTCTGCAAATTTATTCTTCATTTTGCTGTATCTAATTTTTTGTGAAAAAGAGTGTAAACACTTAGGTGCCGTTTGGTAACACTTACGCTTTCATTTTTCTGTTTATATTTACAAAAATTTTAAAAGCTCAAATAAAAACTTGTTTGGTAAAATTTTTGATTTATAAATCAGTGGTCTCAGTTATAAATTTGGCCAAAAAACGAAAACACAAAAAATGTGTTTTCATTTTGAATTTTCAGTTTTTTTTTTTACTACCCAACACTAGCCACCACTTGTCACCATTTTCCACCACCTCCTTAAAATTGAGTAATCATTATATATATATATGCAAAATCAAAATCAAAAAATAAATTGTGTTCAATTAAATGGATCGTTAAATTGGTAGAACCTAGACTTCTGACTGCTTTGCTCCTTCTGCTCTCTCTCTCTCTCTCTCTCTCTATATATATTGTTCGCAAGTTCCTTGCTTCAACTTGTAAGTTCTTTTAGTCTAACTCTTTATTTCATCTTTTTCTTGAGATTTTTGGTCCGTCTTTCTTCGGTTACCTCCTCCTTTTGTTTTTTTTTCTTTTCACATTTTACTTTGTCACTATGGCCAACCACCTAAAAGCCCTATTGTCCAAGGGTAAGATCCTCGCCTTCCGTCGTCACTTTTTGATCCCCGACAATGTTCAACTGACCCTCATTGGAGATGTGGAAGTGAGCGTGGAGAGGGCTGACGTTAACACCATTGTCTTTCCTTTATTGGCGATTACTAAGGGTGAAGTTTGTTTCTCCCTCCATTCATTCCTTAGAGCTGTTCTCAACTATTGGGGCCACATTCATTTTCAACCCAATGTAAATTTTTACCAAATAGTAATCCACTCGCTACCACCCACTACCCGCCACCGTCACCCACCACCACCACCACCCACCGTCACCACTTTCCACCACCGTCTTTCGCCGCCACTTGCTACCACTTGCCATTTCTCACTATTTTTTATATTTTTAAAATTTTTTAAACATTTTGTCACTTACCAAACGCGTTTACAGTTTGTGTTTTTCTAAAAATAAAAAAAAAATAAACAAAAACCAGTTTATAAAATTTTTATAAATATAAACTGAAAACGTAAACGTTACCAAACACACAGTGTGTTCGTTTAACAAATAAATTATAGTGCTGTATTTATTTACTGTTGATCTCCTAGGAGATAGACGTCCATATTCTGAAAGTATCGAGAAGAGGACGAATTTGTCTTAAGGACACAGTGTCAAACACTGGACTTAATCAGATTATTATTCGAAGAAATTAATCAAGTAAGCTGTTTAATTTATTATTCTGTTTTATTTATTTATTAAATCAGATTTTAATTTTGTTTTTGTAACAAAATAAAATCTGTTTTTATTTATTTAATTTTATTTCTAGTTTAATTTTTGTAATCAAATAATTTTCTCTCATTTCCTTTATTTCTTGTATATTCTGTTTGTTGTTAAGTACACAAACAGAATTAATTAATTATAGTGAAGATTGTCTAACAGTAAATACATATATGTTAGTATTTTTATAATTAAAATACATAGGCTTGGGTAAAAAATTTAGATATATTTGCAATAAAAAACTTTTCAAGGCCGAGTCAGCTTATACTATGAGCCATGGTCTAGCCTTAACCTTAGGCTTGACTTAAAATATTAATTGGTCAATTAATAGACATATTTTATAACAATTAATTTAAACTTTATATTTTTTAAAATTATATTATGATTTATGAAGTTGTGTCAGGTACCTTTTGTATATCTCCTTTGAAAATAGATTATTTTAATAATTTTTAATTTTTTGTCTAAAATATAAGATACAAAAATTTAGTATGTTTGAAATAATTTTTTAATTTTTTATGAAATAATGTATAAAAAAAATAAAAAAAAAAGAATCTTTAATTTTTAGTATAATTTGTTAGAATTTTAACTTTTGTATTGATTTTTTAACTTTTAAATTAAAAAGTGACCTTTCCAAGCGAGGCCAAAGAGCCTAGAAATTGGGTTTCCGTCACTTTGTACGTGAACAATTCTCAATTCTAATTGAGTTCTTGAAAATTTGTTTAGTTCATTGCACAACTCAGGAGTTACTTGGCTCACTAATTTATTTATTTTTTCAATTAATAAATAAGAAATGTGTATATATTTTTTGATATTTTCGTTAAAAAATTTTAACTTTAATTAAGGAATTTATATATTTATTTTCAAAATATATTTAATATCTATTATATCAATATTAAGTTATATTTACATCTAATTTCTATTAGGCTAGCCATAGATTATGTTTTTAAATTAGAAGTTGATCCAAGAAGTGATGGCTCAATTTAAAATTATTTCAAAATTATCAATTTAAATTTTATCAAATTTTCATATAATGTTTTCCTCGATAAGATTAGATTGTTTGATAAATTATAATTTATAACTAAAATTTTCATTCACATTTTTTATTTAAATATTTTTATATTATATATAATTAAAATTTCATTTGATTTTTTTAAAATCTTAGATTAGATGTGAGTTAGATATGGTTAAAAATTTATTTTGATTTCCATCAATAGTTTTTAATTTTTTTTAAAAAAATAGATAGAGCTAGATAGATCAAGAGTATTGTACTGTGTATATTTTATGTCACTTTTACTAATATTTTGAAATAAGTATATTCAAATTATATATGATTAAAATTCAATTTGAACTTTTGTTGTAAAAAAATACAAATTTAAATTAGATGTGGCTTAAATATGGTTAAAATTCATTTTTGACTTTCTATCTAAAAAAAATTCAAAATTTAAAAAATATAAATTTGGTTAAAAAAGCTGATAATTTTTTGCCTGTGCATTTCTCAATTTTTAAAAATAAAAAAATAGAACAATTTTAATTAATACTGTGAAACTCCTAAAATTTTTGAACAAAATATTACTTTTCATTTATATGTGCAGTTCAAGTAACTAAAATAAAATATATATAAAAAAAAATAGACGTAAAAGTATAAATATCACAATATGTATTGATTAAAAAATAAATAAATTACATTAAGGAGAATTTTTTTAATATCTATGATATTAAGATTTTATAAGATAAAAGACTTATAATATTTTCATAGTAGTTAAGGTCCCTCAACATTTCTATATAGAAAATTTGACTCAGAGAAATTTTACCCGACTCAGAAAAATTTCGCCCCAAGTTAGAGAAATTTTAATTTTCAAAGAGAAATTATGAAATTTCTCTGAGTCGGGGCCGTAATTTCTCTAAGTTAGATGAAATTTTTCAGAGTCGGGACAAAATTTATCGGAGTCGGGCAAAATTTCTCTGTGAAAATAGTGAGAGACCTTAGCTAATGAAAAAAAACATCTTGAACCTCTCCTACTACACAAAGTCGAAAAACGATGTTTCACTAATTTTTCCTTAAATTAACACATTAAAATTCAATATATATACATATATATTAAAAAAAATATGACATGAAAAAGTAAAAATTCAAAATACTAATAATTTGGGGAAAAGACTGGTTCACACCTCTTAAAGGGGGTGCATCATATGTATCTTACAATTAATGAAAAAAATGACATAACTTTATATTTTTGAATCGTAACTAAAATAAACATTATAACCAAATAACATATAAGGTATAACTAAAAATCTAATTACTAAAAAAGAATATTTCATAATTTAAGAATGCATATGGTAAAAAATGTACATTGTGGAAGTTCCCATAACTTGAACTATAGATATAGATTAGCAACCAAACCAAACCAGTACGTCTTCAATTCCACTTGTGTGTAAACTGAGCCTAAATGGTTGTGATATGTTTCTTCTTCCTATGTTGTTTCTGTTTTATGTAATTCTTCCAAGATAAAATAATAAGGGGAAAAAATTACGCACAAAAATAAGAACAATAGCAGAGGAGGAAGAAACAGAACATGAATTATTTAAATTCTATTTAGATTATGAATTTGAATATAGATTTAAAAAAAAAAAATCTCAAAAATTATAATCTAAATAGTCTTAATAAAACAATCTAGTTTACATAGAACAAATATGAGAACTGATTGTGATTTTTTTGTTTTTAAATAGTAGCTGAAGTATTGAAAACTAATTGTGTTGTGTGTGTGTTTTTTTCTTTTAATTCTAGAAAGTAGCTAAAGTATAGATCTGAACTCCAAACTCTTTCCAGTGTTTGGTTGAAAACTGATTGTATTTTATTTTTATTTTTTTAATTAGTAGCTGAACTGAAGTGCAGATCCAAACTCCAAATTCTTAGGTGGTGTTTGGCATTTCAAATTTATTTAAAATATAAATTGTCTCATGTGCTTTGAAAAATTATAAATACTCATTTATCAAAAAAATTTATTTAACATAATTAACTTAAAAGATAAAATTTTTAACTGCTATTTTATACAATAATAAAATTACATGAATTATTAATTAAAATAATTTTTTTACATCATTAAAAATTGTTAATTAACTTGATAATTTATTAATAAAAAATATCATTTGTTATGAAATTAAAAACCTAAGGAAGTGTGATGTAATTTTCAAAATTACAGAGAGTAATTTATATTTTAAGCAAACATTAGAGATGTGTTTATAATTTTTTTTTTTTAAATAGTAGCTTTAGTATAGATCTGAACTCAAAACTCTTAGGTAGTGTTTGGTATCAAAATTACAAAGAGTAATTTGTATTTTAAGTAAACATTAGAGATGTGTTTGAATTTTTATTTATTTATTTTAATATAATATTAGCTCTGGTGTAGACCTGAACTCAAAACTCTTACGTAGTGTTTGGTTGAAAACTGATTGAATGTGTGTGTGTGTGTGTGTTTTTTATTTTTTTAAATGGTTGCTGAAGTATAGATCTGAACTCCAAATTCTTAGATAGTGTTTGGTTGAGAATTGATTTTTTTTTTTTTTCTTCAAAATAATAGATGAAGTTTTTTTTTTTTTTTGTCAAAATAATAGCTGAAGCACATATCTGAACTCCAACTTTAAGGTAGTATTTGATTAATTAAAATAAATAATTATTCTATCAAAATATTTATTTCTATATTTATTTAGTTAAAAAACAATAAAAAATATACCATAAATGTAATCATCATTTATCATTCTAAAAAAATGATCATTACATTTAATTCCAGCAAATCCAAGGGAAGATTATATGTTAGATCATTTTCAAACGAGATTTAAATCTTTCATCAAATTTAAATTTAATAAAAATTTGATAAAAATGATATTCTAACCGTTTTACTAAATTAGTATCAAATGAAAGCAGTCTTATTTTTTTTTCATCAAGTAAAATGAGCGTTTAACATTTCATTAAATTTTGCAAGTAATCATTGGTAGATGACCGGATAAATGACTGGCCGGTCAACCGGACGAATGACCGGCCAAACAACTGGGTGGACGGCCAAATTAGAGAAAATTTAAAGAAAATTTACACGTTGATAGATGACCGTCCAGACATTCTCTCAATCGTCCTTTCGATCGACCGGTTGTTTGATAAAAATTAAAAATTTAACATTAAAATGTTTAGTATTAGATAAAATTTTTAACCCAAAATCTGGAAAATAATAATAATAACCATTAGAAATGCCCTTGTAGTAATCAAAATCTGAAAAGCAATGATGCAGTAACATCTACAGTAAAAAGAAAGGAGAGTAATAGTATTACCGTGTTTCTTGTCTGTCACCAATTCACCCTCCACACAGCTAACAAAATTTGGCCATGAAGAGTTGGGGATTGAGATCCAGATCCATTCAAAAGAAGGAGACGAGAGAACTAAATAATGGTAGAGAATACCTTGGGAGTTGCATACAATATGCAATTAATTGTCAGCCATTCGATTAAAACAAATTCATCCTGACCCTTGAATTTTTTAATAATTGGAAAGGGAAATCGCTGTAACCGGTGAAAACCACTCCCTCGATTGCCTCCCACTCTCTCCAAATTTTAAAAAATGATGTATATTATATTAATAATTAATAAAATAATTTTAAATTAGAATATTTTGTACTTTCAAAATTTTAATAATTTGCATCCTCAAAATTATAAAAATTTGCTCTCTAAATTATTTATATTACAAAATTTGTAAAATAGTATATAAATCTAATTTTATCAAATATTGATCTATTTTATTTATTATCTTTATTATATTACAAATTTTTTAAAATAGTTTACAAATCTAATTTTATCAAATATCGATATATTTTATTTATTATCATTATTATCTGTTATATTTCTCTGTTTAAAGTTATTTATATTTTTCTATTTATTTTTATTTGTTATTATTCTTGTTTTATATATTTATATTTTTCAATTTTTCTTGTTTTTATATATCATTTATATTTTATATTATTGTTTGTTCATTTTATAGAAATAGGAATATTGTAAGACTATGTAAGACTATAGGCCATGCTTGATTGGGGGTTTGGGAGGGGGAATTGGATTATCAATTTGTGAAACCTATCAAATCCATGTTTGTGTGCAAAAAAATGTCATGGAATTATGAATCTCCTTCCTTGGTGGGATTAGCATTCCCATGAGAGGGTTGAGATAGCTAATCCCTTCACACAAATTGATAGCTAAATTTCTATTTTGCCCTTCACTTTACAAAACTAACAAAATGTATATTATATGTAAGGAGGGTTTTTAGGTAATTTTACAGATTTAATCCTATCTAACTAATATCACCACACTAAAGCTTTGTTTGGAAATAACATTTTGGCTAAAATAGTCATACAAGACAAAATAGACTATTGTAGCCAAATAAGACAAATGTTACATCCAACTCATAATCATTTCATTTTTTCTCTCACAAAGGTTAAAAAAGTCAAAAAATCTATCCCAAACGAAACTTTTTAAGCCCATGCTAAATAGCCAAAAAGTCAAAAAGCCAACCCGCATCCCAAACGAGCTCTAATACACAAACAAACATATTTTATCTTATATCTACAATCTAATACCACCACTCTAATAATTTCCTTACTCAATCTCGCTGTACTCATAATCCTATCCAACTTAATTCGCCAAACAAACGAAGCCATATTGTAGGGGTTGTTCGGGATGCTACTAAAATAACACACTTTTTGTCTTTTTATCTTTTTTTATATTACATCATCTCTCTACTTTTCTATATATATTTTCGTAAAAAGTCCAAAAAAATTATTAAAATAGTATATTCTCAAAATACGGATTGTCTATTGTAGTTATGAAAATTACATCCCACCCCTTCAAATTTTTATTCACATAACAAATGGTTCATTTTATTAATAAATTATCAAATTAATTGATAATTTTAAATAATGTTAATAATTTATGTAATTTTATTATTATACCGAAGAACAGTTAAAAATTTTATTTTTTCTGATAATTCTATTAAAATATAAAATAATAACAAATGAATATTTATAATTACAAAAAATACTTTATATTTAAAATAAATTTCAAAGAATATATTTATAATTTACCTCATTAATTTTTCTTTGGCTTCTCACTCCACAACTACACCCTCACCCATATTAATGCACAGATTTTGCTGTGATTAATTTTCAAATAACTTGCGGAAATATGAAAATCAAGTGCAATTAGTAAAAAAGAGAGACTCTTCCTTTGGAAAATGTAGGAGTATCTCCAATAGCCTCGGTTAAAAAAGCTTTGTCAAAGTTATTTTTTAGTTTGTAGAGCATCTTCACTAGGTTGTTATTGGAGCAGTCAAAACTATAATATAACAGCTTTGGATAAAAAGGACTATAATATAACAGCTTTGGATAAAAAGGGGTTCTCTAATGGTTTCACATAGCAGTTGCCAAATTTGGCCAAAACCAATTGATTTCCTTCCTTTCCTCCCTCCTTTCTCATCCTTTTCCAAAAAAACTTCCTAAAACAAATCAAATCTTTTTATAAAAAAATCACCATTTTTTTAAAACAGAATTCACCAGTTGTGAGAAAACAACCAAACCCTTCAAAAAAAAATTAAAACAAATTTCACCAAAATTTTAAACAAAATCATACCAAAACAACAACAACAACAACAATCATCCAATTTCAAATAAATTTTAAGTAATCTCAAACAAATTTATAGAGAAATTTCAAACAATCAAACAATTGAGCAATCTCAAACAAATTTCAAACAATAAATACCTGGATTTGAAGATGGCTGATCGATTTCAGACGATTTTAACATTCTGAAGCTCACTACAACAAAAAGCATTTTTGGCGACACTTTTTAGCAACCAAACAAAAATTTAGTTGCCAAAGATACATAATTGGCAACAGAATATTTGTGGTCACTAAAAAATAAACTTTTGGCAACGAATTTATGATTTTGGTCGCTATTGATTTTGGCGCCAAGTGAATTTCTTGTGCGGGAGCGCGAAAATCTTTTCAGCGACCAAATTAATTTATAGCGACGGAAAATTTAGTCGCCAATTGTATTTGTTTGGCGACAAACATTACTTGGTTGCCTAAAAATCTAAATAACATTTATGGCAACCAAATTAATTTGGTTGCCAATAAATTATTTGTCTTTACCCTAATTTTTTATTGCCAAAAATTGTTGACAAGTGAATAAACAAACAATTGACCTAACTTCTTCACATTTTCTCATCCATTTGAAACGGCACAGCACAGAACGACACAGCACAGATCAGGTATGTACTTCTTCTCTTCTTCTTCTTCTCATCTTCTCCTCTTCTTCTTCTCTCTCTCCCTCTCCCTCCTACTCTCTCGCGCCGCTGAATGAGAAAGGCACAGCAGTGCTCGGCGGCAGCAACAGTGGGCGGCAGCAAATCGGGACCCTCTTTTTGGATCGCTGCTCTGTTCTCTTCTCTGTCTCTGATGTTCTGAATATAGTCCCTCTCCCTCTCCCTCTTGCTTTCTCGCGCCGCCGAATGCCAACGGCATAGCACCGCTAGGCTGCAGCGCCGAATGCCTAATTTTTATTTTATTTTTTATTTTGGGAATATTCATGGTTATGTATGTGTATGTATGTACTCATAGATTTGTTAGTTTTCATGTTTATATGGGATTGAGATTGTTGCTTTAGCTAGTTAGGTTACACTGTTTATGCCATTGTATTATCATATCCTTTTACATCTGTAGAACTTTTTAACTTCTATAGGTCATATTTTCGTGGTCCCATAAAATGTTCTATATTTGGTTAGTGCATTTTGGTCAAAATAATTTGGAATATATAAGAAATTTGGGAGATTTAGATACTCCAAGTTAAGGATAAACATAAATACATGAGCAAACCCTGTATTTAGTAGGGTTATATTTGATATGAGAAGAACTTTTCTTCCAAAACCCTCAATCCCAATCATTTTGGTAAAATCCTTACTGCATTCAATTTGCCCTTGGTTACAATTATTTTTATAGGATTTTTAGTGGTTCGAAATTTGAATGTGAAATGATTATTTCAGTGTAACTAACAATAACAATAACAACCCAAAAAAAAAAGAAAAAAAGAAAAAAGAGAAAAGGAAAAAAGAAAAGATTATTCTGATGTAAGAGGTGTTACCGCTTGTGAGTATAACTTTTCCTTCTATATGTATTATCCTAATATGATGCATCGGAAGAATGGCCAGTTTGCTTCATTGAAAAAAAATTCAGCCTCTTCTAGTTGGGATTCTACTAAGAGTTGACTTCAAGGAGATGGCACACCTCGTCCAGAAACTGTGTGAGTGGCAACCTGAATCTCAAATTGTTGTTTTAAATATATAGACTGATACTTCACTATCTTCCGCCTAATTAATCTTTATAGTGAATATCATTTTCTGCAATATTGTCCAGTGTTCGAAGATGTCAACATTGTGGTGTTGGTGAAAATTCTACTCCTGCAATGCGTCGTGGCCCAGCTGGACCAAGGACACTCTGCAATGCATGTGGGCTTATGTGGGCAAACAAGGTGTGTATAGTCTTGATCATCAAAATCTGTACCTTCTTTTTTTTCGAAGGTCATCCAATATATTCTCATCAAATTGCTTTTTTTTTTTTAGTGTGATCGTGAATATATTCAATACCCTTCGCAGCATCTAGCGCGATCTGTGAGGCCTATGCTAAATAAATAAATACCTTGAAGCCAAAACCCAATCAAGTTTGTCACGATGTCTACTAGAGTGATAGCCAATTTTGATGTGGACTAGATTGGATCATCTATGGTTGCAGGTTTACAATCAATCATATCTATTAGAGATGAGGATTTGCTATTGTTAGTTTCAATTCTTCTTCTTATGGAGGCCATATTAGAAATTCGTAAGGTTGCAACATCTAGAACATTAGAGTACTTGATTTCTCATTTATTCACAAGCAAATTTCCCTGTGGCAGATATAAGAAAGATGGTTGCTCTTGTTTGATTTTGTTTTTGTTTCCTATTTACATTTTCGGGAAAACTCAGGGAAAAAAGTTTAAATGTTAGAAACCAACTACAGATCAAGCAGGTACTGACTCTTTTGTTTCCCCCCCAAAAGAACTAGTTAGGTGATATATGCTTGTGTTGCTTGTACAACTAAGTTTCATGATACATTGGGCACTTTGTTTATGCTTTCAAGCTTCCCTCTATATGAATTTAGATTTTTTTTTTTAAATAACAATATGCCCAGATCCCGTCCTTTATTTTTCATCATTTATAAATCCATGTTTTGTTCTCGTAATTAAATTTTTATATTCTTGCATGCATTTTCATGGTTATGATGGTTGGGTTTTGAGATTAGAATATTGAAGGGATCTTTTTACTTGGGAAAGGGAGGAAGATGACAAAGACATTAATTTCTAATTTTGGCCCGAGATTAGAGGCAAAGGATAAAATGTTATGGACTTGGGAATGTAATTGTTAATATTGTGGAGCTTCATTTTGTAGTCATCATCAAGCTTCATAAGGTCTCTCAAGGTTAGTATTCAAACTCATTTGGAAATCCTTCATTCCATCTAAAGTCCAAGTTTTTTGTTGCTTGTGATTTGTTAATTACGAGAAATAGCTTTTATGTCCATTTCATGAAGGTTTGGAGTTTTTGTTTAAAATGGTGGGGTTATTATTAATATGTCTTGTTGATTTGAAAACGTTGATGAGACGGTGATTTGGATTTAAAATGAATGGATTGAAGAAATTAATTAGGGAGTCACTATTCTACACAGTTTTTAATCAGTCTTTTGATTTAGTGCAATAACTCTGTTTCTAACAATGAAATTGCAGGATGAAAGGAAGTTGTAGACATTATCCTAGTGAGAAAAATGCACCGGGTGAAGGACTATAAGGAGATAAAGGAGTACTCAATTAACAACTTTATTACTTACATAGATCTGGTAAGGAAGTATAAATTGTAATTTGGTTTGGAGATTAATTTAGAGGTATCAAGAAAGTTTTGTAATGATTTCTTATAATTTTTTTTTATAAAGAATTTTGTTTCCAAGTTGGAACCCCTGTATTACTTATTAATAAAATTTTCTTTTGCCCCAAAAACATTTCTTTACTCATCACTATCATGTATGGTGATTTTGTTTTCTATTTCATGATTTCTTGGTAAATGGAAGTGAATTCTATTGATTCTCTCAATCAATTTGTAGTGGAAGTGATCTTTATTTGTGGATGCTTGGGAACAAGAAATTTACATCAAACCAGATCTAGACAGGGGACCATATTTATAATGCATATATGGTGATCCTATTTTCTGTTTTAAACATTCTTGGGTACTGAAAATAACTATCTGAAATGGATTTATCTGGTGTTGCAGGAATAGTGGTATTAAAATAACCAAAGAGTAATTGACTATTTGGAATTGTTGCTTCTAGTGCATTTTTAAAATTATTAAAGGCTTTAAGGTATGTTTCTCTTCACTTGGTCAGTTTTCAATTATTATTATTTATTTATTTTTATTTAACATAAACAAGTCAATTGCTCTATTGTTTTACTACTTACAAATATTTTAATGAACTTGATTGGTTTGAAGCTCTTGCAAAAGGAAATTAAATCATTGGAGGGTAAAACATGTAACAAAGTAGGATTACAAGAATAGAAGCATCAATGGTTATTATGTTTACATGTTTGGAGGTATGATGAAACCATGGAGCTGTTCAGAGAGATTTGTAGCAAAACTTGAAGCTAATTTGAGGAAAATAGCATTTTTGGGATCTTTTTTATTATTTAAATCAAATGGGATTGGTGTGCATATAGTCATTAAAGTTAGCAGAGCAGTAGCAGTGTGCATGGGTAGTGTCTGGTGTGTTTGGGTATTGACCTTGTTCTAGAAGAGCAGCAGGAGCAGTATTTCTTCTGGTCTGGACTAGGTTCTTGATTTGCTGCAGTGTGCTTTTTGTGTCTATTGATTTGTTAGCCTTGGGTGATTTTGATTAGAATAGTAGTATGGTTCTAAGCCTCTTGTTTTCCTCAATGAATTTTTTTTTCCTTGATGCCTACCACTAATGCAAGGATCAATATTCTCTTCACTACTACATGATTCATGTCAAATATACTCTAACAAAAGCAAAACTGTTAAACTGTTAGTTTTTAGAGTTTTTAGAGTCCCCTCCCCCCCCCTCCCCAACTAATAAAACAAGTTCACCTATACAAATGTATGGCATTTCTGAGGAATAGATGGAGAGATTCTAAGACATGGAAATAAATCAATAAACCAAAAACATATGAATAGATCGGTAAAAACCAGACAATTGAGAGATAAGAAGCACAGAAAAATGAAGTAAAAAACAGAGAACCAGCTTCAAATGATGAAAATGTTAATGCAGAGAGAGAGAGAGAGAGAGAGAGAGAGAGAGAAATCTAAAATGCGAAATCAGATGATTGATCCTCGAACAGGAGAGATTGCTTCAGGCAATGTGGTTGAGAGATGTCTATATACCTAAAATCTCCACAATTTCAACAGGAGAGATTAGTAAGAATCAGCCACAATCTAACACAAAATAATATTAGTCAGTCCAAATTAATACAAACAAACAACTGTGGTCATTGCATTCCAAGATCAAAAAATAATATTAAAAAAAAATGCTCATAATGTGGAGAGCAAAAGGATTTTTTTTCATCCATTAAACATGGGATGTACTCAATTCTCACTCATTTCATCCACTTATTGATAGTGACAAAGCTGTTTCAACTGTTTATATTCTCAAGCTACAATTGAAAGTACATTTCTGGTAGTATTGATTGATTTCTCTTTGTTCAACATCAACTTGTTCTAGATTAGCTGTTTGAGCATAGTTAAGCTGATAATGGTGCATTACACTGTGTCGTTTCTAGTTCTTTACATTCCTTTTGGTTGTTCAGTATCAGCAGCCAAACTAGATTGAAACACAAACACCATTCTCCACCGCTATCCCAAATTTCACAACCCCCTTCTCCTCCACCTGAACCTTTCGACCCAACTACTGGTGGGACTTCTTACAATTCAAGTACTGGCATTTTTGATGTATGAAAATTTGGTGCTGTGGGGGATGGAATAACAAATGACACAGAGGCATTCAAAACAGCGTGGGACATGGGCTGCTTATTTGAGTCAGTGGTCCTCCTTGTTCCCTACAGTTATTCCTTCATGATTCAATCCACAATTTTCACTCGTCCTTGTCAGAGTGGTTTTGTGTTCCAGGTAATTAATGTTGTCATTCTATTCCTCTTGAGACTTTTTTCAGGACTCCAATGGTAAAAAAGACTAATGTCTTTTGGTACTTACATTCTTTTATAGGTTGATGGCACTCTTATGCCACCAGATGGACCTAATTTGTGGCTAGATAGTAACAGTAAGCACCAATGGCTTATCTTCTACAGAATCAATGAAATATCACTGCAAGGAGGCGGTCTAATAGATGGGAGAGGAAAGAAATGGGGGGATCTTCCCTACAAACCCCACAAGGTATTACTGTTCAGTTTATTAACGAATGATTTCGTTGTTAAAAGAACTTCACTAATTCGCTATATGTGCACACAGGGAGCTAACAGAACCACATTGTCAGGACCATCTTATAGTCCAATTGTAAGTGAGTCACTTTGCTTAATATCTCTACCTGATTTTTCTGGAGTTGCAAACCAAATTAGGGCTCTTGAATCAGAAAGAGAGGCAAAACGAATTGGAAAAGGAAGAGTCTGATATGTGTTTGGAAATTAATGGAGGAAGTCATGTCTGCTATAGAGTAGTGGAAGAGGAAAAGGCGCCAATTTTGGATATATTTTTATATAAATAAATATATTCAAATATATATAATCACATATATATTTTTTATATATATAATGACACTTAATTGAAAAGTGACATAAAAAATAAATATATCACATGTTAATTAAAAAGTGTGATTAAAAAATGTATATATATAATCACACCTAATTGAAAAGTGTAATAAAAAAATATATATAATGACACTTAATTGAAAAGTGACATAGAAAATAAATATATCACATGTTAATTAAAAAGTGTGATTAAAAAATGTATATATGTAATCACACTTCATTGAAAAGTGTGATAAAAAATATATATATAATCACACTTAATTGAAAAGTGACATAAAAAATAAATATATCATATGTTAATTAAAAAGTGTGATTAAAAAATGTACATATATAATCGCACTTAATTGAAAAGTGTGATAAAAAGATAAATATTATCACACTCAATCCAATCAAGTGTGAAAATATTAATCTAATTTTTTTTATCACACTTCTAATAAAAGTGAGATGTTTTCATGTATCAAAGTGTGATCTTTATCTGTTTTTGTAGTAGTGGTCACAACCCTTCTTCATGGTTGAACTTGAATTAATTAAGCTAAAAATGTGGGGGAAGAGGTGGTGTACTGATACATGACACTTCCTTCTGCACAGATTCTTTTCCGAGTCGTTCTTTATTTATTCTTTTTTTTTGTGTGTAGAAAATTCTTTGTTTATTCATTGTTTTGTGCAATCCTGACTCAACTGCCATTCTTTATCAAGATTTTGTGGCTAATGCACTTCCATATACAAATTCTGTTTAACTTTTTATTTTTATTTTTTATGTTTCTATATCATTACTCTATTTCTAATGCACACCATTACTCTTTCACATGCACACCATTACTCTTTCACATCTTGTATACAAAAATATCACTTTTTATTTGAAATGAAACAAGAGCAATAACTAGCCCCTTATACATAGAAATTTAAAGTACTTCAATTAATTCGCAACACAGAACACAAGAACTAGTAGTACATAGAAAAGAAAACCGATCTGCAATTCGAAACTGCATATTTTTGTTTTTGTTAAAAATATGTTTTGGCGGGGGCGAGTAGTTTCTCTCTGGGTGGCAGATGTTCTTTGATGACAGAGCAATTAACATACTCTTCGATCCATTTGTAGAGTCTGGGAATATACGCCAAGTTTAACTAGTGAATCATGTGTTACTTTCGATTTTGGTATATTGAAATTTTGTAATTCACCGTAGGAAAATTTGCTCTCAATTTGTTCATCTATAATGTGAAACCAATGTTTTTAGACCAAGACCTTTATTATTAACATTTTAACATTATAATTTTTTTTTTCATATGTTTGACAGATTGGCAATGGATGGAATATAGTTCGGGGAGCATCAAAGGATTACATTTTGAATTTTTGAATATATTTTGTCATAGGTTTTTGTTATGAATTTGCAAGCTTGGAAGGTTTTTTGGAATTACATGTTTGAAGTTTTTTTCACATGTTTGACAGATTGGCAATGGATGAAACATAGTTAGGGGAGCATTAAAGGATTACATTTTGAATTTTTGGATATATTTTGTCATAGGTTTTTGTTATGAATTTGCAAGCTTAGAAGGTTTTTGGGCATTACATGTTTCAAGTTTGGGATTGTAAAAGATTTGTACTTAAATTGGGTGTTTTGGATTTGATATGTTGTTTATATTTAATATGGTACTACTTTTGAATTAAGATTACATTTTGGATACTTTGCACAAGTGTTTTAATTTGAATTATATTTTGCTTATGTTTATAGGTTTGTGAATTATGTATTAAACAGGGAAATTGTTAAAAAAAATTATAAATAATGGATTTTTGGTGATAAGTTTTTTTAGTTGTAAATTTACTTTTGGTGACATTTTATTTATGTTGCTGAAAGTATGTGTCAATTTTCTTAGCGACGCAAAACTTGATTGGTCGCCAAAAGTTTAACATTCAACAACCAATTCTTTTAGTCACTGAAAGATATTTTTAGCGACGCATTTATATGTCGCTGAAACTTAACATGTCATCAGCTGAAGGCTACTTTTAGTGACTAAATGTTAATTTATGGCAACGAAATTAGTCTTTTGGCGACAGAATTATTTGGTCGCCAATTTATTTATAAAGGCAACCAAAATTGATTTGGTCGCCGAAGCACTTAGTGACAGGGCTTCAACGACCAATTTTGTTCATGTCGCGGATACTTTCAACAACCAAAATTACACTTTTGGTGACTAAAAACAGGTCGCTAAAAGTGTTTTTTGTTGTAGTGGCTTCATCATCACCTTCTTCATTTTCATCTTCTTTAGAAGCTGATTTGGAATAATTTCGGTTCAAGGGTTTCAAGGGTTTTATATTCTTCTTCAAGTCATTTGAAGGGTTTCAGATTCTCACAGACAGATCGAAAATAAAGGGTTTAGGGTTTAGAGAGAGATAGAACAGAGGGTTTTGAATTTTTTGTTCGGTGAAGAAGATGAAGACGAAGTTTGTGATCAACGATCCAAAAGGGGGGGTGGGGTAGGTGAGATTGTTGTGATCAACTGATCTTCACCGGAGACTAGGAGAGAAACCAAAAGAGATGGAGAGAAATCGAGGCTCATCGATTTCTTTCACTCTCTCTCCCTATGATCTTCACCTCTCTGATCTTCATCGGAGGCTCATCAACTGATCTTCATCGGAGGGAGATAAGGATTGTGATGTTTCGGGTTTTAAATCCAACTATCTTTCTAATTGTTTTCATTCAAGTTTATACTGTGAGTTTTTTATTCTAATTCAAGACCTCATCAGTCATGTGACATCGCCTTGTTTCATATCTTTCTTGTTTTGAGTTTTTCTAAAATCTCTCAAAATTAAAATATGAGTTTTGGGCATGGGAACGGAATTGGAGAAGTGAGAAATGCCCTAGAAACAGATTATGTCCAGGTTCCAGTTCTGCACGTGCAAATTTGTGCAGTCCGGGATTTCATTTCTGGAGGTGATTTTTGCATGTGCGGGAGATGAGGCTAAGCCCACATGCGGGGGTAGTTGCCGCAAGTATAGAATGAGAAGACTGAAGGGCTTTTTATGCTGGGTGAAACCGCACGTGTGAGAAAAGGTCATTGCAAGTGCGAGAAAGAGGGCTCCGTATGTGCGGCCAAAGGGTCTGCACATGCTGCAAAGCGCGTCAGGCAGCTCCAAATTTCGTGATTTCAAACCTTATTTTGACTCTTTTCTCATTTTTTTCCCATTTCAAATAACTCTCTCTCTCTCTCTAAAATATTTCTATCACTCTCTCTAAAATATTTCTATCCCTCTTTCCTCTCCATTCTTTCTCTCTCTCCAATGCTCACAAATCCTTTGATCTAGCAAAATCTATAGAGTTTTAGATTGGTGTTTTTAAGACTTTTTCGGATAGCTCATCAAGGACTATGTTGTATGCAGTGGAGATTGATTTTCGTCATCATAAATTTGGAAATTTTTGTCTTCTCTCCTTTCTAAGGCTTGAGGTAGGGATATTCTTTGAGTTATATATATATATATATATTTGTAAGTCTATGTTTGTTTTAAGGTTGATTTATTATATATTGGGTTAGGTTTGAGCTATGGAGTTATGAGGGGTTTTTAAAAGAGAGTTTTGTGAAATTTCTTTAAAACTTTCAAAATATTTGAGTGAAGAAATAGTGGGAACTCTATTTGGGTTAACATCTTTCAAAAAATGAGAAATCCTAATGTCACCACCCAAACCTGCCCCTATAGGTTTAGCGTCGTAATCGGCTAGTAATTCTAAAATTACTGAAGGCCTCTTAAACAGATACATAATATTAGGGGCTAGCGAAAGCAAAATACAAACATACATCGTCCATTGAGCTGAGCAGACGTACATAAGACAAAAAATATTTAAACTTTTTTATTTATATTTTTTTATATACATATATTATCACATCATTCATGCGTCATCATGTAAATACAGATGAGACAAAAGGGACTTAGCCCTATATACAAAATAAACAAAAACTTAAACTTTGATTACATAGCCTTGGCACTTGACATATCCGGAACCTCCATGGGAAGGCGCATAGGTTGGCTGACAAAAATAGATTCCAAGCAAACACCTCTAAGCCTGGTCACGCGCTTTGTCACGCCCCCAAACCGCCCCTAGTAGTTTGGTGCCGTGATGGCCAGTAACCCGAGGTTACCGAAGGCCGTCTTACAAAAATCACACACAATTAGAGTATAAAATATGGGGCTTACAAGTGCGGAAGCAACATATATACATATACAAAATCTAAATAGTCCATGAGAGCCGTGCATAAGTCCAGTAGAATGTCATACATCAAACATCTTTACAAGTCTTACAACTTAAATGCAAGAATGAAATGAAATACCAAAACACATCTTGACCAAAAGGCTTCTCAAGCCGACATATACAAGTGCAAATGAAAAATAAGCCGAGAAGCATGATCTTCAAGATGGTGCAAAATGCAGTGAACAAATTCAGAACAAGGGTCGACCCTTCCCAGCTTTGGTGTCGACCCTTGCGGCCAACCAAAAGAGAAGGTGTCGACACCACCAAGGCTGGTGTCGACACCAAAATGCAGTGAACAAATTCAGAACAAGGGTCGACCCTTCCCAGCTTTGGTGTCGACCCTTGCGGCCAACCAAAAGAGAAGGTGTCGACACCACCAAGGCTGGTGTCGACACCAAAATGCAGTGAACAAATTCAGAACAAGGGTCGACCCTTCCCAGCTTTGGTGTCGACCCTTGCGGCCAACCAAAAGAGAAGGTGTCGACACCACCAAGGCTGGTGTCGACACCAAAATGCAGTGAACAAATTCAGAACAAGGGTCGACCCTTCCCAGCTTTGGTGTCGACCCTTGCGGCCAACCAAAAGAGAAGGTGTCGACACCACCAAGGCTGGTGTCGACACCAAAATGCAGTGAACAAATTCAGAACAAGGGTCGACCCTTCCCAGCTTTGGTGTCGACCCTTGCGGCCAACCAAAAGAGAAGGTGTCGACACCACCAAGGCTGGTGTCGACACCAAAATGCAGTGAACAAATTCAGAACAAGGGTCGACCCTTCCCAGCTTTGGTGTCGACCCTTGCGGCCAACCAAAAGAGAAGGTGTCGACACCACCAAGGCTGGTGTCGACACCAAAATGCAGTGAACAAATTCAGAACAAGGGTCGACCCTTCCCAGCTTTGGTGTCGACCCTTGCGGCCAACCAAAAGAGAAGGTGTCGACACCACCAAGGCTGGTGTCGACACCAAAATGCAGTGAACAAATTCAGAACAAGGGTCGACCCTTCCCAGCTTTGGTGTCGACCCTTGCGGCCAACCAAAAGAGAAGGTGTCGACACCACCAAGGCTGGTGTCGACACCAAAATGCAGTGAACAAATTCAGAACAAGGGTCGACCCTTCCCAGCTTTGGTGTCGACCCTTGCGGCCAACCAAAAGAGAAGGTGTCGACACCACCAAGGCTGGTGTCGACACCAAAATGCAGTGAACAAATTCAGAACAAGGGTCGACCCTTCCCAGCTTTGGTGTCGACCCTTGCGGCCAACCAAAAGAGAAGGTGTCGACACCACCAAGGCTGGTGTCGACACCAAAATGCAGTGAACAAATTCAGAACAAGGGTCGACCCTTCCCAGCTTTGGTGTCGACCCTTGCGGCCAACCAAAAGAGAAGGTGTCGACACCACCAAGGCTGGTGTCGACACCAAAATGCAGTGAACAAATTCAGAACAAGGGTCGACCCTTCCCAGCTTTGGTGTCGACCCTTGCGGCCAACCAAAAGAGAAGGTGTCGACACCACCAAGGCTGGTGTCGACACCAAAATGCAGTGAACAAATTCAGAACAAGGGTCGACCCTTCCCAGCTTTGGTGTCGACCCTTGCGGCCAACCAAAAGAGAAGGTGTCGACACCACCAAGGCTGGTGTCGACACCAAAATGCAGTGAACAAATTCAGAACAAGGGTCGACCCTTCCCAGCTTTGGTGTCGACCCTTGCGGCCAACCAAAAGAGAAGGTGTCGACACCACCAAGGCTGGTGTCGACACCAAAATGCAGTGAACAAATTCAGAACAAGGGTCGACCCTTCCCAGCTTTGGTGTCGACCCTTGCGGCCAACCAAAAGAGAAGGTGTCGACACCACCAAGGCTGGTGTCGACACCAAAATGCAGTGAACAAATTCAGAACAAGGGTCGACCCTTCCCAGCTTTGGTGTCGACCCTTGCGGCCAACCAAAAGAGAAGGTGTCGACACCACCAAGGCTGGTGTCGACACCAAAATGCAGTGAACAAATTCAGAACAAGGGTCGACCCTTCCCAGCTTTGGTGTCGACCCTTGCGGCCAACCAAAAGAGAAGGTGTCGACACCACCAAGGCTGGTGTCGACACCAAAATGCAGTGAACAAATTCAGAACAAGGGTCGACCCTTCCCAGCTTTGGTGTCGA